TTACGTAATATATCTATATCTCAAAGCAAAAATTATTATGAAAATTGTTTTCCCACTCACAATAATGAAATCCTTCTGTGGAATTATTTCAGTTTATTTGCGTATATATATCTCTCTCTCTCTCTCTATATATATATATATATATATATATGTAGAGAGAGAAAATGATCATGTGGAGAAATTACATGACAAAAATAGGTTAATAATGGGCAAAATCCGCAAAAAGATGGAAAGTGAATTCGAGCAGAAAATAGGATAGGTAACCCGAGCGATACGTATTTCTGCTGGTTGGCTTCATCAGGCCTGAAATGAATGCACATGTGCAACTACAAAAGTAGATACACATGCCCACACATCCGGATACGGGTGTAACCTGAGGAAACGAAGATGGAGAGGGAAGTCCACAACAAGAGCCTACCTACACATTGTAGTATAAAATGGCTAGAAGACCTCGAATTTTCAAGGCGACATCTTGCTCTTGTTGTGGACTTCGTGTGTGATTTTTCCCTTTCCATCTTCGTTTCCTCAGGTTACACCCGTATCCGGATGTGTGGGCATGTGTATCTACTTTTGTAGTTGCATATGTGCATTCGTTTCGGGCCTGATGAAGCCAACCAGCAGAAATACGTATCGCTCGGGTTACCTATCCCATTTTCTGCTCGAATTCACTTTCCTTCTTTGCAGTAGTCATTGCCATTGCCAACAACCAGTTGGGCAAGAAAAACGATTAATTATTATTAATTGGGAAATTGGCACAGTTTTAGGCTTAGTAAACACTTTTAACGGTAATCTCGAGCTTTCGGTACTTTATGGTGCCATCATCAGGAGCTGAAACACAAATATGAAGCTAGCAACGAATACAGAAAAGATTTAAATTTCCAGACAACTTACTCGTCGCTGAGGTTGCAGCCAAATGGTGTTTCAAAACGAAAGCGTGGATGAGAGCACTTGTTGCAAATGTAAAACCAAAAGGACGGACTCATTGGGTTTGTTGTTAAGGACGGAAATCATAGTTAGGTGTTACCACTATACTCGTATATCAATATACCCAAACAAATTAAAAATTAACGAAACATTTTCAAGTTATTAAAAAGTAATACTGCATTTTGGTGAAAAAAAAACAGCAGAGTCCTTTCTAACCTCGTACGTCAGTTTCACGTGGAGACAATGAGCGAACCGGAAGGGTGATGCGTCGAAAGATGACAGATAACCGTCGCGACAGAATGTGGAAATGTAAAAATCGACGATCGGAAAAAACTTTTCATATTTCCCAAATTGCCGGATTAGTTTTCTTTTAGAAAATTGGAAATAATATGAATGTAAGATGGGAATACATGCTTGAAAAGATGGGTTATATGAAGATATATTTTCGTTTTGGCAGCAACCTCAGCGACGAGTAAGTTGTCTGAAAATTTAAATCTTTTCTGTATTGGTTTCTAGATTCATATTTTGTTTCAGCTCCTGATACTGGCACCATAGCGTGCCGAAAGCTCGTTAAAAGTGTTAACTAAGCTTAATATAAATATATATTATATATAACAAAAAAATTTTTTCTTCCAATGGACGAGAAATGTCTATTTTAAAAATAGTTCAAACATTATCTAGCACTAAATTTGAAAACTAAATAAGAATATTTTAACAATACAATGATGTTTGTTTTCGTACTGATATTCTTGTCACTGTCAACAAAAAATAACAAAACAAGTTTTTATCGCTGTTGCTGTGGGTACGGCAGGGAATTACAATTATTTGTAGAGATATGCATGTTAGTGGGTTTGTGTTCAAGTAGTTATTAAATGTACCACCATTTTGTAGTAGGTAAAGGTATTGACTTTATATACTAGGGTTACTACTCGGGTAAGTACTCGTCAGGAGCTTCAAAATGATGTTCCACAAGACCTCCGTATTCATATAATTTTTTTCCAAGATGGCGCTCAGCGGCCATCTTGGGATTTTCGTTTGTCAATTTTACTCTAAAATATGGTATCCACGCATCAAATTCATTATCTCAAGATTTATTGATTTATTATTTATTGATTAAAGAATTAAATGTAAATCTAGAAATTATTCCAAAAATTATTGTTTGAAACTGAATCCCACAAAAACTAAAGCTTGCTGCATTGGTTCTAGGTTAAATATTTCAAAATTTAAAGGATTGATGAGTACAGCCAGTGTTTTAGGTAATACATCTGTTGAAATTGTAGAGGAGACTAAGAATTTAGGCATTTTGTTGGACACAAATTTAAGTTTTGAGAACCATGTCTTTATAAACTTCGAGTATGCTATTGTAAATATAAGTCACTTTGGAGATACAAACATGTTTTAACCAGTGATATAAAATTAAGGACTTACCAATGCACTAATCCTCACTCATCTAGACTATGGCGCTACATTATATTATAATTTTCTTACTGAAGAAATGAAGCACAAAATTCAAGTATTACAAAACTGCTGCATGAGATTCTGTTTCAAAGATATACATATACAAGAACATATTACTGGATATTATGTGAGAGAAAATCTTTTAAAATTCAAGTATCGTGTATTACTTCAGTATGGAACTCTACTATATAAAGTTTTAAAATATAAATTACCCAGATATCTCTTTATTGCTTTGGAGAAGAGATGTTCACTCCGCCAAGTTTCCTTACGCAACAATGAATACTTCAATATTCCAGTTCATACAACATCTAAATTCAAAAAATGTGTTACTTACACGGCACCATATCTAGTAAACGATCATTTAGAACTTTTTGAAGCACCTTCCATCCAAAACTTCAGAAATGAGATGGAAAAAGTGCTACTACAGCTGCAAAGATTTGAATCCACAAATTATAATATATATATATATATATATATATATATAAATTTATGGCGCTTGCTACACTACCCTCCATTAACACTCAGACTATATCGTATTATATACTGTGTTGTGTATAATATTTGTTGTGAATACTAATCATTCTGTTGATGTTAAAAAACGCTCATGAAGTTAACTTTCTAGGGGGAGGTGAAAAATGGCCCTGCCATCCTCTTTCCTTTTGGAATGTTGTTGTTTTTATATTTTTATGTATAAACATTCCAATAAAAATTATTATTATTATTATTTAATTTTTTGAATTGATCCGTTCAAAAAATCAAAGGGGAGGGGACATTAAAGAAAACCATTGTATATATAGTACTCATAATTACTCGTTGACTATGTGCTATCATCTACTTCTTTCTAAGAACAATTTCAGCAACAATCTCATCGACAGTAGTAACGATACTCCCTTTTAATTACCTATTGTTGCTACTTTCCAAATTTTGTTCCAGCTCCCGACGATGATGGCATAGACCGTCGAAAGCTTGAGTTTAAGTTAAAGGTTTGCAAAAATTTTGCCTTCATCCCAAAGAATTTCAAGGATTTATACAAATATATATATATATATATATACATATATAGAGAGGAAAGCTGATCATGCAGAGAAAGGTATCGCTCGGGTTACCTAACCTATTTTCTGCTCGAATCTACTTTCCTCCTTTTTGCGGATTTTGCCCATTATTTTCCTACTTTTTGTTATATATATACAGGGTGACTTTGAAGTTGAGTCATTAATTTTCAGATAATGATTGTAGAAGGAATATAAACCAAAATATGTGTGTAAAAATAAAAAAAAAATTAAAAAAAAATTTTTACCTTGTTTTATAAAGTATCCTCCCGACAAGTATTTCAGTGTGGACCTGTATTTGATCGTGAGGTCCCCTGTGAGGTCTTAAGTCACCTGATTCACGAGCCCGTTAACAAAGGCACGAGGGGGTTGGTTGCACTCGATTGGGAAACCGATCCGCATAAACATGTGCCATTTTTTATTTCGTTTGAGCCACGCAACAGACACCACTATTCACACGCGTTACCGACTGACACTGACTGTATGTATACAACTGCATAAAATAATTGTAAAAACGTCTTTCCAAATTCATTCACTTTTTTGTTTCCGATGCGATGAACCGATACGACGGATTATATCCGTTGTCGCCAAACACGAGCACATTGAGACAGGGCGGTACTCAAACTTCCAAAGGGCTATAACTTTGTTACTTTAATTTTACCAGAAAAATGGTAAAGGAAAAAAACATTTCTTTTGATCAGATCTACTCACTGTTAAAAGAAATGACTCAACTTCGAAGTCACCCTACATACATATATAGTTTGAATAAATTGTAATGGCTTATACGCGAATAAACTTATATTCTTATCATTATTACTATGAATCATTTCCAAAATTTCAAATGGAATCATAACGTATTATCCTATTCAAAATTCTTGTTGCAGGTTAACAATTAATCTATGGAAATATGACCAATCAAAGATTTAGGATGACTCAAAATTAATAACAACTTCGAGTGTTTATTTTTGTCATTTATAAAATTTATTATAATCACTCATTCACTACTACGTTTATTATGGAACAAGCTAACACTTAGAACAAACATTCATGATTTAAGTTCCATATCAAAACATCGCAAAGGTATGTTTTAGCGCCTTTACTCATATAAGGCCGATAAATATTATAATGGATTAGACATTATTATTAGGAATACAGAAAATAATAAATTTGAGTCACTATTAAAGCAATATATTTTCAACACACAGTAACACAGAAATTTTGGTTGCAACAGACATTTTTATAGTTGTAGTATTATATATACTTTTTTTATATTTCCAATAACTGGTTGAGAAGATTGGATAATGGCTAGACTCCGCCATTTGCCTCATAAAACATAATGTTGTAACATCTAAAAAGTATCTCATTTTCGAAATTCTTCGCAATTACATCACTCTCCCGCCAGTGGCGTGGGAAGTAAAAATATGCAACTTTAAGGACATTAAAACGAAAAACTAATTCTGTGACACTAGAGAAGTATTACTACAAAACTTACGTATTTCCTCTCTATTTAGCATTTGAATTATATAGCTGGAAATTTGCGAGGAATTTTATTTCAGAATTTCGCCTTACCTATAATCGTCGACTGATAATCTGACATCATCATTCAGCGGGATGGTCACATTACTTGGCATTACAATCTCTTGATCTGGATCATGGAACCTGGACACGTACTCATGCTCCAGCGCCTCTTCAGCAGTCAGCCTCTTAAGAGGGTTGAACACCAAAAGGTCGTTGATGAGGCTGATTGCGTCAGGTCGTATATTACTACCCATGAGAGTGTGCAGGGGCACTTTTTGGACTGCTGCTGCGTTTTTGATCATCGAAGAGCCCACGCCAGAAACGCATACCACCGTCAAGTCTGGTGATGCAAACACGTTCATAGTTTAATGACTACAGTAAATAATACGGGGTTGAGCAAAATTAATGATATGACGTGCTTCATTTTTACGGAGCCTGTTTTTCGAGATCCCTTCTTATTCATTAGGATTCAGCAGAGAAGGCTTGTATACGAAGCGATAGACCATGGAGCAACGAATGAAAATCGTAATTTTTTTAAATGCCCGGTATCTGTCTTTTCAAAAATAAGCCAACTCATTTCAAAATTCCAGCAACAAGGAGCTCCGTTGAACCTTCGTAGTTATGGAAGACAATGTACGTTGCCAGTTTATAAAATAGTCTCGTTAAGGGTAATGACAGTAATGGTACTGTTGTTCAAAATCGAATGAAACACCTCAAGTAGCTAACGGCTCTGTTAAGTTCAACGGAACCCTCCTTTTCCATATCAGAAATGAAAAAAGGAGGCATTCTTTATATATCTATATGATATATATATATATATATATATATATATATATATATATATATGGAAGACTTGTCTTTGGGGATATCGACTAATTGAGCAAAGTGTACCCTTCTGACTTACAAATACTCAAGCTATGCTGTCCTCTTCAGGAGCTCGTCAGAAGGGTACACTGCTTAATTTGTCGATATCCTCAAAGACAGTCTTTCATTTAACTAGTTATTATCGATAATAACTATGAATCATATATATATATATATATATATATATATATATATATTCGCACAACATACAATGTGAGGGTCCCCCATCTAAAATTTACATACAAAGTGAGGACCGCGACAAAGTCCGTATACAGACCTCATTTGTCAGACCTTGTGTATCGTGTTCCCCAACCCCTAATCATTAGGAAAACGTGAAAAGCAGATAGTCCTCAGTTATATATTTCTTATAGGAGAAAAATAAGCAGCATCAGCCTACGTGTCAGACCTACTCGAGCGGTAAAGATGTCGGGGTGAACTATACGGTGTGTTTATGGTTTATGAAATGGGTCTCGTAGTCGGAAAGCAGTGTCAAGAAGATAGATTTTCGATTTTGATCTAACATTAAAAAAATGCCGGAGACAGCAACTAATGACCTTGCGCTTGGCAAGTAGCACTTGCTAAATTGTTACTACAAAGAGCGTGAGCGAGAAGTTCTTATAAGAAATCTAACAAACACATTTTATGCAAGAAAGTTTTGAGACTGCCCGCAAGAAACTTGCGGCTACATACTAAAACTTGTCCCATTTGGGTTATTATCAGAGAGGGGCCCTTTCTCCAAGAAATGTGCTTTTATACTGAACAGTATGTGAGAGATATTTGACAGATCCGATTTTTGAAATTTTCAAGGTCACTAAGCTGGAAAAAACTAGGCCAGTTGTCGATGAACAGAGTTCTTAAGAGTTAAAATGTGTAATGGAAGTGTGACTGGTTTGTCTGGTAGGATTAACGTGTGGCGACATCATGATAGTCTAGAAGCAGAGCCTATATTTCAAATGCAAGGCATTATTAGGTTGCTATAGGGGCCCTACTGAGCGGGGCCGTGGCAAATGCTTGTTCCGAAAGTTGTTGTATCCAGTATACAACTTCTTCCCGTTCAAGTGATTGTACACGCGTTAAGGAATACCTCAGTACCGATTGCCGGGTGGCAGTACAAGTCCGCCAACGGGCCACTTTAAGTCTATTTAACATCACTAACACGTAAAAAGAAGGTGGTAGACAAGGACCAGTCGACCGAGGCAGTACCACCCGCTAGCTTTTTCCAGGGTGTCTTATAAATGCCCGCATGTTTCCACACCTAAGCTATGCAGTCGGTTAACTTCCAAAACAAAGAAATTAATGATGATGGATCCCTCGAGCACTAAGAACTCCGGACGTAAACTCACTCGACTCTCGGAATGTCCGGGTGGAGGGTGGTCTCGAGGGAACAACATCGACGATAAAATTTGTTTTTCGAACATCTGCGGGATTAACAGCAACATTGATGCTGTTCATCACTACCTGCAATCCAATCGTCCCGCCGTGGTTTTCTTGGCGGAGATAATCTCAGCGTCTGCACCTATTAACAATCTTAACTTCCCAAACTACGAGGTGCACTCCAATCTGAGAAAGAACTGGGGAGTTGTGGCCTCTGTCTGCAGCAGTCTTGCCTGCTCCAGAGATGTTTCTTTGGAATCAGATCGGAAGGACATTCTGTGGCTTCGCCTCAACTCTAAAACATCACCCAAATTTATTTGCTGCCTTTATCGCTTTCCCTCGGACCATAATTGGGATGACCTACTCGAATACCTCGCCGTCCAGATCTACTTCCTGAACATCAATCATCCCGTTTCAGAGGTAGTTCTTCTCGGTGATTTCAATGCCCATAATGAGCTTTGGTTGGGCTCAAACAAGACCGATGCATCAGGTCGTGAGGTCGAAGCGTTCGCTCTTACCCAAGGGCTGACTCAGCTGGTGACGAGCCCTACTTTTTTCCCTCGCGTCTCGTCACACGCCAGTAGCCTGCTGGATCTCTTTCTGACCACGCATCCTGTCCCTTACAACACTGCAGTCCTGTCCCCCCTGGGTAACTCAGACCACGGTGTTGTGGAGGTTAGGTTTCGGTCAGAACCCGCTGTGGCAGCAGAAACTCGTACAGGCTGGAAAACTTGGCATTACGGACATGCCGACTGGGAGAGGCTCAGAGACTTCTTCTCTAGCTTTCCTTGGAAATATGTCTGTTTCACTGACGCGGATGCGTCGGCTGTCTGTTCTTCGATAACCGAAATTATCCACGTCGGAGGAATACATCCGTCACACAGTGAAAGTGCCTAGACCAGGGTCCAACGGCTGGTTTAACAAATCGTGTGACGCTGCTCGCCAGCAGAAGATCAAGGCACACAGAACCTTCTGAGAGAACAGACAAGCCGACGTTGAGTCCAGAAACAAATATAAAGCAACGGTTCGCAATGCAAAAAACCAGCACGATATAAAAGTTAGGCACAGGGTAATGTCGCAGCGCAATGGCTGTCGATCTTTCTGGACGCTGGCCAAGCAGATAGAAAAGAACTTCTCACACAGTAGCCTTCCACCACTTACGTGTCAGGATGGAACTATTGTATTCAACTCAAAGGCCAAGGCGGAAGTGCTAGCCAAGATCTTTGCTGCCAACTCCACCATGGATTTAATTTTTTTAACGCTCATTTGAGTTCTTTTTTTAAAGCTAAAAGTTTATGATTACCCATTATTTAAATAATTCAGCAGTTATTCAGATGTTTTTCAGATTTTTGCAGGTATTCAAATACCAATTGGTATGAGAAAGAAGTTTATTTTTGGTAGAATAAATAACAAATTCAAAAGTATTAAATTCATAAATACTAAAGTCAGTTTTGGCATCTCTCACAGTGCAGTTGAAATAACATTTCAAATCCTTTAAGCCACATGATCAGTCACTGAGGTCACGTGTAAACTTAATGTGCCCTCAGTTTAAATACAGGGCATTGTCGAGCACCGCCATATCTGAAAATGATCGCCAAGTCGTACAACAGTTATTCAATATACCTTCTTTAATATTTTAAAGCTCGTTTTACTAATTTTTTTTTAAAGCAAACGTATATAAATAACCCAATAATTATTGAGGTGTACTAAGAATTTTAACTTTTGAGGATGTTTTTAAATAACACTACATGTAAAGTGGCCTGTCTTTGATAGGGCTATAACCAAGTTCGAACTGTTAAAAGTACAGCATTTACTAATTCTGCCACAAAATAGAAATAAGTACCTAATCCAAATCTTTCGAAGATGGTAACGCTGACCATAATTGGTAACGAGTGTACTGATATGTGCTCTCAACGTTAGTATAGAAGTTGATAAAATGTACAGTAGTACTTGTAGAAAAATATCACGTGATTTGAGTCATAAGACATATTTAGAAATGGCGACCGAATCGCAAAATACTTCATAGTGCGTATATCTGAATAATTATTGGATTATTCGAAAAATGCATATCGTCAAAACACGTTTTATTTAGAAAAAAATCGGGCAAAGTTAGCCATATTTTATGCAGTTGATCTTGGCCGGTACTTTAAGTTCCCTATATTACCAGCCGTTGAATTCGAATTCTATACTAAAGTTATAACTAACAAAAAAATAGCACATTTCAAATATCTTTTGATCTTCTCTATGAAAAGAGTAACTATCATCTGACCCTTTTTTGTACCAAGAAGTTTGTCCTTTTTTCTATCACACTAGAATCACCTGTACTTTTATGGAACATAAACATCGAACTTGCGAACGTGGTTTCTGTAACTTGTATCATATGAAGTAGTACTAGTTAGCAGTTACACGCAGTTTCAAGTATTACAGTGCAATATTGTCAAAAAGATGACAATTCGTAGAGACGTTGATTTGTAAAAGTGCTTTAAAGAAATTATGCAGTTTAATCAGTTGATTCAGCGATACATTAACGTAAGCATATAAATGAAAAATCTTGAAAAATGAGACTGGCGGTGCGTTAAGAGCTTTCCGAAGAAAGATAAATGACAGTGCTAAACAAATACTTATACTCCCTAATCGCCCAATCATTGTATATCATACTTTTGAAAAACATGGTTTGACAATTTTCTTGAAAAGTGAGCTATTAAACCCCCACGATTTCAAAGCGCGCACGCAGCAAAGGAAAGCGGCACCACGCTTCTTCCCCCTACCTTCCACCCCTCTGGCCTTCTATAAACATTCATTTCTAGTTGTCGTGCCAAACCGTTAAGACGTCAATCGGCGCGCGTCGTTTCTACGTTTTCAGCAGTGTCGAGAAACCGCTGAACATTTAGAATTAGAGAGCAGGACAGAAGGTTGACCGATAGATGTACATTGTCGAATGAGATACCGACCGACGGTCGCCTCAAGGTTCGTTTCGACGCGGAGCAAAATTAGAAAGTGGTGTGCAGGTCTCTTTTCCTGAAGGAGCGTCACCATCAGGTAACTGTCGACTAACCGATCAGTTTTAGGTGCAAGTTAAATGAACATTAGTATGAATGCCTC